GGAATGAAGGGTTATGTTGGGTGTTTTTTTTTTCTCTTTTTTTTCTATGCACAGTATATAAGTGATTGTATAAAATGAAAATGAAAATGAAATAAATAAAATGTATTTTGTAAAAAAAAAAAAAAATAAGCCCCAGTTAAGATTGTCAACCAGATGGGTGCATTTAGTACCATATTTTCCTGAAAATAAGACTTAACCAGAAAATAAGCCCTAGTGAGTCTTTTGTAGCAAAAATTAATATAAGACCAGGTCTTCTTTTCAGGGAAACATGAGTACATTGGACAGCCACTGATTCTTCACTAATTCAGTAGGACCAAACCTGATTTTCCAATAACTGCAAAAATCAAGATGCTGGTTTCTTTTGGCGTGTGTTAGCAGGCTGTTTGCAAGTGCTCAGATTAAATACAACTTCAGTTGCACAGGTGCATCTGGCTAGTCCTGCAGTTAATTCATTGTTCTTGCTCTTTGTCTGGGTTAGAAATGCCAGGTCACCTCTTGGTGATTGACAGGCCCTGCTGGTATAGCATAGTAACTCCAGCTTCCCTTTGTCCCAGGGTGGCACCAAACAGCCCTGTTTGCTTTGGGGCCCACCTGTGTGCTCAGTCACATCTGGCTTCTGCCACTGGTCAGCTTTCTGCTGTGTCAGCTGGAAAGCTAGAGACCAGTAACCCTTCAGTGACACTCCCTTGATGTTGACTGCCGACTTCTATTTAAGGAGAAGAGTAAGTTTTATATCCCAACTACATTGTTGCTAGGGATAGGAGTTAAAGTACATTTCCTGTTCCCAGTCTTTTAGTCTCATGCTTTTGGGGCTTCTCTGCTACTTGATCACGCTGAAAAGTAGGATTTGTGTTGCCTTATCCTGAACTTGTTTGTAGGCTGTGTCATCTTTTCTGTCTGGTGGAATAACCTCTGCTCCCCAAAAGAAACTCCACATTTAAATATTTTAATGGAAAGCTACATGAACAGGCCCACCTGTGTAACAATAGTTTTAGGAGCCTTTGACTATTGGTCTTCCTTTCAGGGCTTGCTTATGAAGCAGACTGTTGAACCCAAGTATGCTTGTTCTTCACAGTTCATATCCCTTCTTGTTATGCTAGAGTGATAATATCTTAATTATTGCAGGCTAATCACCACCCGTGTGTTGGTCCTTGTGTAGCTTGATTTATCACGGTCTAACAAGGGAAGACTAGCTGGCTCAGCACAAGAGTTGGCTGCCTTCCCAGCTGCCTCCATCCAGCCTGACTTCTCCATCAGGCTATCTAAGGTGAAGCACTCTTTCAAATGCAGTAACCAAGCAGACTGGAGATGCTTCAGAGAACATTTCTTGGAATGTGGATGCTGTAGTGTTGACTGAGACAGACAATTAATATTAAAATACCTTTGCTGCTTTGTTTAAAAAAAAACATGATGCATCATGAGATTAACTGGCTTCAAATTAGGTCACACCTTCCGGATGCTGCACTTGGCATAAGTGCCCTTCAAGTGCCATGTCTATGCGTCGCCTTAATAACCTGCAATAAGTCTTCAAGTATGATGTGGCAGGCTAGGAGCAGGTGCTGTCCTTACTTCTGATATCCGCGGTTGAGCTCTTATACTTAGCTTTCGAAGAGGCCAGCTGAGGTAACACATTTTCTCAGGCAGCTAAGTACGTTGAGGCCATTTTAGTCTACATTTCTGTCAGCTTCTCTGTCAGAGGAAATTGATAGATGTGACTGCAGGAAGCAGGCATGGCTTTTTGACCTGGGTGCCCAAATGATGGAAATTCTACAGCCAGAAGGGTTGGTTTCTTAGAAGTTACTGTATTTTTCAGACTATAAGGCGCACCAGTGTATAAGACGCACCGAGATTTCAAAGAGGTAAGTAAGGAAAAAAAGTTTTTGCCTTCCCTCAGCCCACAGCAGCACTCTGCAGGGCTGTGGGAAGGGCCCCATTTTTACCAAAAAAAAAAAAAAAGGTCAGTTTTTCGCAAAAATGTGATGTGGAGTCAGGCTTTCGGAAGGCCAAAAATGGCTGTATTCGAGGTATAAGACGCACCAACATTTCCACGCTCTTTTAGGGGGGGGGAAGGTGTGTCTTATACTCCGAAAGATACGGTATGTAGTGATCACCCCAGACCTAGAAGGGTGATTATCTGTAGCTGGTCCCTGAAGTCTGAAAGCATTAAGAGCTTCCTTCTCTTTTACATCTGCTATTTGCTTATTGGGAGTAACTTTTTAAGGCTGATGTTTTATTCCTGCATTTTTTTTTTAGTACTACTTCTACTACCTTAGAAGACATTTACCACATAGCTCAGATTCTGAACAAGATTATTTGTCATCATAAGTTTACTCCATGGGGACTTTTATATGGGTATTGAGCAAAAGCCTGGTCCTTTAAAGTCAGAGAAAGAGGTGATTGGGTTTCTCCTTGTTTTTTCCCTTTTTTTTTTTTTGCGGTTAGTACCAATTATCTCTTAGTCCAGGCCTTTAGTATTTATCAGTACAGTGTGCCAAAGCTGATAGGGCTAGCTTTATTCAAAGATCACTTGTAGGCTTATTGCTGTCTGCTTGTAACAGAGCTATGTGAGAATGTAAAGAGAGGGGATGGCTTTTCTTCGGGCTTTAGGTGAGTAGAAAAAAATTCTCTGCCACCACTGCCTTTTTAAACCTTCTCTTGGTTGTAGGTTTTTGGTTTTTTTTACACCAGAATGACTGTAGATTGATTGATCATTAACTGTTCTGTCTTGTGTTAACTTTTTGGACAAATATTTTATAAAATTATTATAGATTGGAAGGGGAAATTATGAGATATTATTGAAAGAGGAAAGGGACCATAGGTTCTGCATCCTGATCTAGATTTTAAGTACGTGTGGTTCCAGAACTAGCCTTGGTGACTTTTATGTTGCATATTGCTTCATTTTGCTTGTGATATCAGTGTCAGCAGCTTTCATAGTTTATTCTTTTGTGTGTGTGACATGGGTAGTTGTTTGTATCGCCCTTAAGCTTGGAGTTGACTAGGTTGATAATTTGTCTATGTGGTATTTTTGTAGATTCTAAGGTACAGTAATTGCCATTTCTTGATTTAGTTCTAAAGCATAATATAAATATTAATGTTATTGATGAAAAGAAATGTATTAATGGTAAGAATAGAAAGGAAATATAAATCCTAATATACCTCACAGGTCATATACCTCAGCCTTCACCTGTCTCCCTTTCAATATGATGGACACATGCTAATTTATTAAGCATTCTTAATAAACTGAGAGTGTATGAATCCAAACAACTATATTATCTCTGAATTAAGTTATTCCATCTAAAGAACTCCCAAGGAGCTTTTCAGGTACAAATATATGTTGCAATTGTTATTTTTTATCTTAGTCATCTTTTAGCAGGTTAGTGAGTTCTCCTATGAAATAGTGAAAATAATATTACACCTCTTGATTTTTTAGATTTCTGATCAGGGATGGTAACATTTGTGATGGTCTTGTGACTAGCTTGTCGTGATTATATGTACATCATGGTAAATTATTTCTTGGCAAATTGTGTTTCCCCTGGAATAAAGATAATGCACTTCACATTCTTCAGATACAACATTTGCTAGACAAGTTCTGAATCCATTGTAGGTGATCAATTGTGATCTTCTTCATGCTTTCTTTAGGTGCTCGTAGCAACCCCAAGATGGAGTCTCCAGCAAGTGATGATGAAGCAGCTAGTGAAGTGCTCAGTCATTACAGCAGTGCCAGTGAAAGTGCCAGTATAGCTGAGGAAGTGACTGGTGAGTGGTGGCAAAAGATGGTTTTAAAAACCTGGTTGTTCTATAAACTGAAAAAGCCATATTTTTCTAATCTAGCATATAGATATGTACAGTATTAACTTGCAAGTGCTGAATTGTCAATGAAATTCCATAATGAAAAAAGTTTGGTAATATAAATGCCTATTTAATCTACACACCCAACACAATGTATTTTTGTTATTGGCAGGCAACCTTTGCTTATTTTTAATAAATTGAGTGGTGTTAGGGGTGTAAAAGAAGCTGATTTCATAAAAGAGAGGTTGCTAAATTTTTAGCAAATACTTCCACTATGTGTTGAGGTTCCCCAGACAGTGAGTTTATTAAAAGCTAGCGCTTTTGAAAAGACACAATTACTAAAATAACATTGTATTAACACAAACAGAATAATTCAGAAAAATGATGAAACGATAACCTAGTGTGTAGCAATGATAAAAGTACCGCATTTTCAATCTATAAGATGTACCACCCCCCGCCCCCCAAAAAAGAGTGGGTGGCAATGTCTGCATCTTATAGAGTGAATGTTGCTGAAGCCATGCCCACCTGCTGGCCCCCACCCTTCAGCCTCTGCCTCCCAGCAATTTGTCTCCTTGCAGCAAACAGCCTGGTCATCTTCAGCACAGCCTGATTTAGTACGAGCAGCTGATTGGCATTTGGATCAGCCTCCTAGAGTACTGACAATCAGCTGTTCCAAGTTGATCAGGCTGTTTGCTGCAAGGAGGCAAATTGCTCAGAGGCAGATTTTTTTTTCTTGTTTTCCTTCCCAAAAGCTAGGTGTGTCTTACGGTCTTATAGTGCAAAAAATATGGTAAATGTTGGAATTAAACATCAGGGCTCTAAAAACGCCTTACATGGAATTTATTACACAAGCTGATGGCCTGAATGACTTTCAGTTGAATGTTTTTTTTAAAAATGTAAGCATTTTTTTTTTGCTATTATTACAACCTTACCCGTTACTAATTTCTCTGAACTAATTCTTTTAAAACAAGAGCACAGCTAGAACAATGTGTAGTTCAAGAGCTGCCAAAAGCCTATCGAACAAGTGTGTGGAACAAAAAGCTTGTTGAACTGCTAGGCTACAGAATCCTTTTTGCAGTTCTGCCAGTACCATTCAGACCTGATTTCTAGCCCCGGTCCTCTTTATTCTAAGGTTGCAGGATTCCAGGTTCTGAGTCTGGCTGGTCTAATACAGCTTTGATTTTTTTTTTCTTTTCTTCTGCTGCTTTTCTCAGGAGGGGAAGCAGTAGATGAGCAAGCACAGCAAGAGGAGATGGAAGATAAATTGAAAGAATGCATTGACAATGTAATGGACAAAAGGTGAGATACATATACCCTTGGGTGCCCAGAACCAAAACTAGTATTTGATTTTAAACTTTATCCAAAATATCTAAAATATTGTCTTTTGAAATGAACTTGCTAATCCTTTGATATAAGTAGACATTCACATTGTCTTTGGTAATCATTGACATGTATTATTTTCCAGTAGCCTTTTCATCATTTTATTTGATGTAGCTGCACCATTCTAGCCAGTTTAATGATGGCTTCATCTTCTGCCCCATCTTGGAGAGTGAGGCAGACTGAGCAGTTGGTGGACTGATCAGGTGATATCTGAATTTGACACATCAGTTCTTCCACAGGCTCCTGTACCTTCTGTTTGGGGCTCATAACTGGTGGAAAATAAAATTGGACAGAGCAACATCAGTCAGAAATTTAGTCAGCAACAAATGGGCAACTCTGCCCGTGGTTTGCTTCTCCATTTGGAGATTGGAGCTGTGGCATGGATTCTGATTTTGTTTGGCCCAAATACTTGTTTGGGGCAAGTCTAAATTAAGAAGAATCGTCTTGATTGTGTAGAACTCTGTTTCTTGAAAGTCAGAAGTAGCGCCAGGGTGCATGCTAAGAACAATTCTCCATGCAACAAGGTGAGGGCATAGAAGAAAGAATAGTGGGTGGAGCCGAGGTGGCGCAGTGGTTAGGGTGCGCTACTGCAGGCCACTTCAGCTGACTGTTATCTGCAGTTCAGCGGTTCAAATCTCACCGGCTCAAGGTTGACTCAGCCTTCCATCCTTCCAAGGTGGGTAAATTGAGGACACAGACTGTGAGGGCGATATGCTGACTCTGTAAATCGCTTAGAGAGGGCTGAAAGCCCTATGAAGCGGTATATAAGTTTAACTGCTATTGCTATTTCTTAAACTCAGAACTGAATATATTTTTCAGCCCATTCATTTACTCATGGGAGATTAAGTTCTGTGCATGTTTTTTACCTTCAGGAAATTCTATTGTCATTTCCTGTTTTGAGCAGTTTTTTAATAGTTTCACCTCTGGCAAATATCTGAAATTAAGGCTTGTACCAATAGAAGATAATATATGTAACTCAGGGTTCAATTGTGGAGTCTTTGGTGCTCTCTGTGCTTGGTTGTTTGCTTGCAGAGGTTTTATTATCTAATTAGGTGACATCATCAGTGCTGGTAATTATGGAGTTTGTTCCCTGTTTCTATACAGTACTTTGCTCAGTTCTTTTCACATGGACATACTTTGACATGGACATGGACAATTCATGGACAGAGTCAACTAAAGTTTCAGCTGGGAGCTTCATCCTAGACCAAACCAAATCACAGAAGACAAGGGAATTCCTTGAAGCTTGGCATTCAGACTAATTAGCCATCACTAGATAAATAGAGCTAAGCCACATTTACACACCCTTCGAATGAGACAATTAAAAAAAATCTGAGAAGAAACCAAAACTAACCAGAACATATCCTCTCTAGCAACCAACATTAAGATAAGCAAGGATTGATTCTAGACAACCAAGCATAACACATAACATTAATTGAGGAAATACCTAGGGAAAAATCATATCCTCACCTACACTGGGAGGAAAACTGCAAATAATGCAAATGACCAGTTGTCTGTAAGGAGTATAAATCTTTCCCCACCATCCAGTCAGAGCTGAAGAAGCCTCTTGGATGAGAAGCGAAATGTCTTCAAAGAAAAACCAGAAAGTCCAGTTGCCTCTTGAAAAGGCATCCTTGGGACAACCGTGACCTGGATGACTGAGAATCTCCATAGACATAAGCAGGGAGCAAACCCCGTACTCACTAGCACTGATGATGTTATTTAGTCAAGTAATGAAACATCTGTAAGCAAACAACCAAGCTCAGAGAGCACCAAAGATTCTACATTAAAACTTGGGTTCTTCTTGGAGTGTTAGCCAGCTGTGTCCTTTCTGATCCTCCCATTGATTTTCAGCTCTTCTGGCCCTTCCCAGCCAAGAGCTAGTCCTCACCTATCCATTCACAGAGGATGAGCAGTATTCATTCAGGGGGCACTGCTCTCCTACTTCCCTTGTGGGTTTTGTTTTTTTTTTTGTTAAATACACACACACACAGGATGGGGGGGATAGAGGCGGAATTAAGTATGAAGCTTCACTCAAGCTTGCTTGCTCCTCCCACTTGTCTGTAATTCATTTTGCTTGCATAAGACCCTGCGCTTGGAGATCCGAGTTTCCTTTTAGCACATAGGAAACTTGAAGCTTTGCCAAAATCATTACCACACCAGCCAGGCTTGGCTCAATGCAGATCCACTGAAAAGGTTTGGCAAAAGTTCACTGAACGCTTGGCACAGCGATCTGCACAGCACAGATTGCTGCTGCCCTTATGGCCAAGCTTTTCAGTTGTGCAAAGTGAACTCTAGACAATAACTTCCCACTTCTCCTCCTTCTTTGCCTCCTTTTAACTACAACAAAAATCAACATAATCCTCTATAGGCTGATAACTTTCAATGATTCGTCTTCATTCCACCTTGGAGCCTGAAAGAGTGAATGCTGGAGGAAATGGTTATTATATCTTCACACTTTGGCTCCTGGGGTTTGCCAGCTCTGCTTCTGGATTGCATTTTGCTCCCAGAAGTAAATATCAGTCTACAAAGTTTCTGGAATAATAGACTAAAGAATTACAGGTAGTTCTCAAGTTACAATGAGAATTGGGGCTGGGATTGCCTTTGCTAAGCTATTATAGCATGACATCACATGATCATATTGCATTATAACAGCAATCCCTGTTGCTGTCATAATCCCAAAACATGCAGATTGTAAGCGTGTATCCCAGGTAAGAAACGGGTTAGGGATAAGGGGAAGCTAGGTTAAGGCCAATGCAGGTCACACATGTGTTGGGGAAGGGCTTGAGAGGCTTAGTGCAGGCCATGGTTTTGGCAGGTAATCGGCACAGAAAAGTTGGGCAAATGTGTCTGAGCGTACCCATAATTTTGGGGGGGCAAATTTTTCCAAGTGGTGCTGTGTGTGTGTATGTATGTTCCAGCATACCTCTGGAATGCCTTGAGCAATTTCAACCAAACTTGGTACACAGATGACTTACATTCTGGAATAAAATACTGTGGGGGTAAGACACCCACAACACCCTTTGGGGTGTGTGTTCTGTTAAGATACAGCCTGTTGTAAAATGGCTTCTACTGTACTGGCGTAAAATGGCTTCTACTGTACAGCGCAGTGAAATTGCCATGGTAACGGCTTCATAGTACTCCACAAGAGGGCTCTCTCTGGTAAGGGGGAAAATCCAACATTATAAATTACATTTGGTACGGACATTTTCCTCCTATAAATAAATACCCAGGCAACGCGGGTTATCAACTAGTTCATTATATTTGACTACATCATTAGCATTCGTGATGATTGAGGGGGAGGATTTTACAGGCATGGCTTGGTGTCATTTCTCAGTTTCTTTCTCACCCTCCACCCCACCACCTTTTTGCCATTCTAGTGCCAAGACCCGGCAGGCTGCCCTCGAGAGCCTGCGGCTAGCATTCTCCTCCAAGACGCTCTTTGACTTCCTGTTGGAACGCAGGCTCACCGTCACAGATTCCTTAGAGAAGTGCCTGAAGAAAGGTGAGCTTCCCAAGGTCTCAAACTTTTGGACTTGAATCACTGCAGTCAAAACACTTCAGATGCTTTTAGTTTAACGGCAGAATAAGCACCTGCTTCACTTTCTCCCATTGTAAATCATGTGGACTTGAAATAGTGTTAATTGATTGCTTTGCTGGATCTTAAGTGTTGCACTTTTTAACTTCACCCTTCCTGTAATTGGACACTTGGAACTAGGAAAATACTTAACGTATCAAATGTGATCTCACCAATCATTGCAAAGATCTTGTAAAGATAAGTTGGTTTGGGACGCTGTGGAGATGGAAGATGAGGCTGACTTGCTCACCAGTGAAATGTTCAGCAAGAGCTCCTGTCTTTTTCACATAGTCTTAACTTCATTCTCTCAAGTGTCCCTGCTTACTCTGTGAACCTGGGAAGTGGTATCCTTTTGGGGAGGTTCAAGTGAGCTTTGTAATAGCCATGAATGCAGACAGATATAACCGCCATTATCAAATTGAAAATAGAAGCCAATAATAACATGCCATTTCTCCAAAGGAATGGCAAGCCTCGCTTTTAATGTCTTAAGAATTTTCAGAGAGGGGAATGAAGCATCTTTCGAAACAAAAGGTGTCTTACGAAAACCATAAGCTGGTTTTCTTCCATCTGTGCTACATTAGTGTAGAGATGTATAGGATCTCCTGTGTTTGTTGGAATAAAACACATGTCCCATATTAATGTTTGGATTCATTTACATCAGACATGCATGCGTCTGTGGCCTTGGTTTAGCTTTTGACACGCTCTTTGTGTCCTGCAAGTCACTCACTGCCTTAAAATAATAAATAAAATGTAAGATTTGATTGTGCCTATACTGAAAGAAGACCACATTGTCCCCACTGTATCCAGTTTCCTTTTGCTTCCAGTGTCTGGTGTTTGTTGTCTGCTTTTTCCTTTTCTGGTCTGGAGCCCCTGAATAGTTCTGTATCTGTTCTCCCTGTTAGGTAAAGGGGAGGAGCAGGCCCTTGCTGCTACTGTTCTTACACTACTGTGCCTTCAGATGGGCTCAGGGCCAGAAGGTGAGGAGATCTTTCGCAGTCTGAAGCCGCTCCTCATCACCATCCTGACTGACTCCTCAGCCAGCCCTGTTGCTCGGCAGAGCGTGAGTATCGTATTTTTCTCTGGTTTGCAGCAAAGGGTTTGCAGGAAAAGGAGATGCATCAGAATCATTGCTCTGAATGATTTCACCTTTCCTTCCTTCCTTCTCTTATTTTGTCTCCCCACTGACAGTGTGCAACCGCTCTTGGGATGTGCTGCTATGTTGCTGCTGCAGATATGGAGGTATGCCGGTGTTTCTCTGTGTTTGGGCTCGCTGGTTGGAATTAGAAAAAGGGCTAGTCTTGATCTCTCTCTTTTGCTGCTGCTGGGTAAGACTGCTTTAACTGGAAAGCTATGGCACTGATGATGTTATCTAGACTGGCCACGGAATGTCTGCAAGCAAAACAACCAAGCTTGGAGAGCACCAAAAAAAGCCATACTTTCCCTTGCGGCTGTCTCCATGAGTCTCCTTCTTAGGTGCATTATGTGAACCTGATGTTGTTCTTCTTCATTCAGGGTGTCTCCTAAAGAGAAACAGAATTTGGAATGTGCTGACTCTTTTCATTAACAAGAGAACTCTAAGGAGGTTCTGGAGAGGGATGTCAGGTTTCTAAAAAATGCCCTAATTGATTCATGAGTCTCAGGCCAAACTTCAAAAGAAAATTAGCAATTTATTAGGAGCATTTATATTGGGAAGATCTTTTCGCAGTCAGATCTTAGCCTTATTTAAATTATAGCTGAACTTTACCCCTGTTCTTTCCCTCCCCTCAGTCTGCGTCATAAATCACATTCCCCAATGAGGTGCACCCTTCCCAAGTCTGCTGCAGTAATCTGAGATCCGACTAGTTGAAAGTATGCATGGAATGCGCTTCCCCCCCCCCTTCCTCACCCTGGCACGGATATGTTTGATGTTCTATTAATTCCTGCCAAACTTCTGCAATAGAATGGGAAATGGTATTCTGTCAATGTAGTAAGCATCATTTTTATAAAGAATGTTAGTCTAAATTCTAAGAAGAATGTCTGTATTTTTAAATTTTATTAAATGTTGATGCTGTCCATCTCCCTACAAGGTGAATTTTTATGCTATATTGGGGGGTCTGTTTATTGGTTCCTTTTTTATCCTGCTTTTTTGGAGCTTGCAGTGACTTAGTTACTGTATTCATTTTATCCCCAGAGCAACTCTTTAGGATAGATTAGATCAAGAAACAGTGACTGCCTCCAATTACCTGATGAAATTCACAGGACAATGTCAATCGGCTCTTCCTCGAAGTAGACAATCATGTGAATCATGTTGTCTACTTATCCATCATGTACCAGGAACTTTCAAGATGTATGAGACCACCTCTTTAATCCAGGTTATCTGGGAAAATGAAAGCTGAGGTCCACCACATCTGATAGACACTAGATTGAGGAAGTGTAAGTGTCCATCATGCCACATGGACTATTTGGAAGGCATAGTGGTTGGGATTTAAAATGAGCTTGTTGAATTCCTGTCCCTAAATTTTGCCAAGCATAGATTAGCTGTTGGACTAGTCAATAGTTGTCAGGATCTGGAAACCATCACACCCTGACCCCTAATACAGTAACTAGAGCTTGTTTAGCTTATTGTGTTTTTATTTGTGAGAACTGACTGGTTGTTCTCCTTTTTTCAGGACCTGGTAACCTGTCTGGTCTGCCTGGAAGGTATCTTTGCCACTTCATGCAGCGAGGATGCCAGCTTGGCACCCACCCACCACAGTCCTCTACTCCAGATCTTGCATTGCAATGCACTTCTGTCTTGGTCGCTGCTCCTCACCATCTGCCCAAGCACCCAGATTAAGAAGATCCTGGATGAGTGAGTTGATTGATCTTATCAGGCAGTATTTATTCTAAGATGTAGGAAAATCTTCTTCATTCTAATTGGCCTACAGAAACCAGGATTTAGTAGAGAATCCACAATTAGCTTTGCCTAGATCTTCTAGATGCAGAGAACAGGATGATTGTTGCAAAAAAGATATAGCAGCAACCTCTGCAAAATAGCTGAATGATTATGATGATTCTTCTCTTCATTGTTTTGTTAGTCATCCTTAATTATTTCCTTCCACAGACATTTACCTAAACTGTCTCTGATGCTCTCCAGTGATAATGTCAACCTGCGGATTGTGGCCGGTGAAACAATTGCACTTCTATTTGAACTGGCCCGGGACATAGAGGTATGAAATTACTATTCTGATTCTTTCAGGTATATATACATATATGCACAAAGACATATAATTCCAGATTGAGCATTTTCCAGTCGAGATGCCTTATAGATCCATTGTGTTCAAAATAATGAAGTATTAAGTATTAGTGGATAGTGAGCAATTATGCCAGGGACCCATTATCTTCTCAGGCCCATCTAATTGCCAATTCTGGGCTTCCCCGTAGCATGTCCTAACTTCTGCAAGGAGACCAACACCAGGCACTAGGCAGGCAGGTATGGTGCGTACAACTATGTGTAAGATTTTGGAGTCACTAGGGGCCAAGCAGGAGAATGAGCTTTAGAAGAGAAGTAGCAAGAGGGAGGCGAGAGAGTCAAAAAGAAAGCTTGAGTGCAGGCAGTTTGAAGGATATATTTGTGGGTGAGGCTTGAGGGGATGTTTATTGCTGGGCCCACACCAGGAGAGAGTTGATAAGAGTAGCAGTGGCAGAAAAACAAAGAAGAGCCATGGTGGAAGCAGATGAGACGTGAAAACAAGAGTGGAGTTAGGAAGGAGAAGCAAAAAGCATGTGTCTGCTCAACAGGCCCACCAGGGTCTGAGGAGGAGGTGCAAAGCTAGGTCAAACCGCTCGTAATCCCACAACGTATGCTGCAATGTCTTGAAAACAATGAGAGAAAAGTCACAAGCTTAGTCAGGAACATGCCAAAGTTGAGAATGGAGGAGACAGGAATGAGAAAGCATGAAACTAGGGCATGAGGCTATATGAAGTGGCTTCCAACAGCGAAAGGAAGTTTTTGTATGGTTTAAATCCTCTTCCCATTATGATGCACAGCATAAAGTTTTTCCTGCTCAGCAATTGCTAGCAATGAGGCACTTAGCTTGCTTGAAGAGTCGGCAGGTTACCACTTACTCACATGATGCTTTTGGTCTGCAGAGCGGAGGGTCTGTAAAACAAGGGATCAATTTGGCTGCAAGGCTTAGGTGTTTGTTAGTAGAGGAAGGGCTGGCCACTGATGAATCTGCAGCCCAGTACCCAGCAGGGTCTAAACTACCTATACTTGAAGGCTTGCCCTTGGACATGACACCCAGGATGGCTAGCAGAAGTATTATGGTCCTTGGGGCTCATTGTAGTGGCTTGGATGAATGAATGTAGATAAGTCATAACTTTAATATTATTGAGCTCTAACTTACTTAAGCAGAATGATCCCCGGCCAAGGCTGGAGCTTAAATTGCTCACTAGTGAATAAAAAAGCATTCCATATTTGTGAGTCTGTATTCTCATTAACAGCCTATGTCAAATCAATAGATACCGTTTCCTTTTTGTAATTAATTAAATGTTAGCTTGATCAATTTGTTTGTATAGGAGATCCTAAGAACCAGAACAGAGGCTGGTAACTCTTTAATTTTACCTGATCTTAGTGAGGCCCCTTCCCCTCTTGCATTGCTGAAATCTTATGAACAAGTTAAATGTTATGAGATTTCAGCTCTCACTAGCTGGTGAGGTGTGAGATGTTATGCAAGATTAATAATCTCTCCCTATTTTGAACATGTTTAAGTACATACTGTATTTTTTGAAGTATAAGATGCACCAAGATTTTGAAGAGGCAAATTTTTAAAAAAATTGCACTCTGCAGACCTCCCCAAAACGGGTCCATTTTTGGTCAAAAAAAAGGGGGCATCCATAGCTTTTAGGAGGCTTGTAAAGTGCTCCTGGGGTTGGGGGGGGGGGCAAAAATGAGCAAAAAACAACCAGGTTTTTTTTGTGAAAACTCGTCCGTTTTTTGTTTTAAAAAAGAGCATGCATAGCCTTTAGGAGGCTTGTAGAGTGCTCCTTGGCCCTGGGGGGGGGGGGGGGGGCAAAAGCAAGCAAAAAATGGCCCATTTTTCTCTCATTTCTGCCCTCCTCAGCCCCTAGGAGCACTCTACAAGCCTCCTAAAGGCTATGCACCGCCATTTTTGTGAAGGGAGCGGGGCTGTATAAAACGTACCCAGATTTGTAATGTATAAGACGTACCCAGATTTTTTGCCTCTTTTTTGAGGGAAAAAGGTGCATCTTATACTCTGAAAAATATGATAGTATTAAAACCAATTTTAATTAAGGCAGATATAGGGGATATTTGGGGGAAATGATAACCAACCCAGCATCCACTCTAGACCTCTCATTTTTATAGGGAAGAGTAAATTAATAACATTTGAAAAAGATTGACTTATTCTTTTCTTCCCATGCAAGACAGGCTGCCTTTTGGTTAGACTGTGTCCTCTACAGTTAAGCTTAAGGTTAACATCTGTCTTCCCTGTTGGCCCCAGGAGGACTTCTTTTATGAGGACACTGACCTGCTGTGCACCAAACTAAAAGCCTTGGCCACTGACAGCAACAAGTATCGAGCCAAAACAGACCGACGCAAGCAACGCTCCATCTTCCGTGATGTCCTGCATTATATTGAGGTGCCTATTCCTGTCAGAGCTTAACGGATCCTACGAAAGCTGTGCTAACTGGAACTGTGGGAGGTTGGATGGGCTTACAGCTGTTGGTTTTTCAAAAGATCCTTAAGCACTTTTATTTCTGATCCTTACTCTCACGATCCCAAATGTCAGGAGTCATTCAAGTGGAGGCTAGAGAATTATCTGTCAGGAATGAAGCCTCCATTTGCAGTGAGGAGGGGACCTAATGACTTGAATGTGTCTTCCAGCTGTAGTCCAGATGGTGATTGTTCACTTTTGAGGAACAGATACTCTCTGGGCATGTTGGGAGAAATTTCCTCCTTTTTCGTGTTACCTAAATGTTCCAAGGCTAACGTTTAGGTGTAGAAAATAGGTTCCAGTGTCTAACTTAAAATCCTATTTGTCCTGGAAAGGAGGAACATCATCTAGAGATTTCCTCCCTTCCCATCCAGAGCTGAGGAAAGGTGCTGGTGCTTTGCACAGCTCCTCACTATAAAAGAAGCAAAACACAATCACAAAGCAGCTTTATGATAATATCCATCCCAAGTAGATGACTGTACAATCGTGTTTTTAGGGTATTATCATAGAGCTGTTTTGTGACTGTTCAGAGCCCTCTTTGGCAGTTCCTTGGTAAGCTCTTGCACAGCTTTAAAACAAATCCTATATATTGATCCTTGCATTCAGCATCCAGGAAGTCTCAGGGCTTTCTAAGCATTTGAGGAAGTAACAGAGTCCAAGGGTCACCCTTCAGTAGTGAGGTGGGTGGGGTTAACGAAAGCTCTTCTTTTGAAATCCTGAAGAACATGTTCTCCCTCTACAGAATGGGGAGTGCCATGAGGAGACCATCAAGTTTGGACTGGAGTGCATGTATGTGGACAGTTGGGCAAGGAGAAGAACATACAATGCCTTCAAAGAGGCTCTTGGTTCCGGTGTCAGACACCACCTGCAGGTAAGCAGATGTTGAATGTGTGTGTGGTTTTACTGAGAGATAGTAGCTTGGAACAGTTTTGGGTAAGTGGGAAGCCAGTCAAGATGGCGAGCATTGATCCATTCAGTCATCAGGCACGAATCTCGACTCAGTGGTGTTTAATTATTGCTGCTCAGTTTAAATGTGGGTAGTGAAACAGGCATAAGATTTCAGCAGTGGATCACCAGAGCGTGACACAAAACTGATCTTCAGCTCTAGGGATCTGCTTATGTCAGCAGCCTCTCCCAGTATATCAGCTAATGGGCCTTCCTTTCTCTTTGCACTTCTCACCCCAGAACAATGAGTTGTTACGGGACACATTTGAACTGGGTCCGCCACTAGTCCTGGATGCAGCCACTGTTAAAGCGAACAAGATCTCACGCTTTGAGAAGGTAGGTCATCAATGCGGCTGAAAGGTTTCTAGAGGTTTCTCCTTTCATTTGCTCAGGGTCCGTGTGGTTTTCACTGATATCAGGGAACTAAGAAGCCCGCCTCAAAGGGAAAGATGCCAGGATAAAACAAATGTGAAATTCTCATTTCAAGTACTGCGCTGGCTATATTTAAAAACCACATATTGGGGGCAAAACAGAGAGGGAGCTGTTGCCTTTTTGTCTTGCTTCTGAATGTTCCAGAAGCTTCTATTCCTCTGGAATAGCTTCATCCCAGGATTTGAATCACTCAGTCCTCTTGCCCTTTCGTGAGATTTGGCAAGTCTGACTGTTCGCTTTAGGGAAAAGTTTGTCTTTAGGAGACATAGTAATATTTTGATTGGTGTCCTCAGCTGCCAACTAATTTTGAGTGGACCTAGATTGTTGGGGGCCAATATGCTGACTCTGTAAACCGCTTAGAGAGGGCTGTAAGGCACTGTGAAGCGGTATATAAGTCTAAGTGCTAGTACTAGTGTCTTGACATGCCTTTTTTATGATTGTTTTTAATTTGTTTGTAAGCCGCCGCCACCTCACCACCATTAGGATTTATGTAACCTTACTAGTTGAAGAAATTAATGAAAATGTTTGATCTAAAGATCTTTGTGCTGTTCTAGCAAGCCTACTCTGTCCTTACTGTTACAGAATTTCCTGTTTTTTCTTTGGTTCAGAATTATGTTAATAATGGGGAACGTTCTACAAGATGTAAAGGGATTCAGTGTTACTACAACAACAGGAAATTACTTTGGGCGTGGTAGACTTTGACCATGATTTGTGACCTCTGAGTGTTCTTAATTGACACTTTTCTGAGCTAATTGTGACGTATGTCTCTTCTCCCTCTGGCTGCCCCAGCACCTGTATAATTCAGCTGCCTTCAAAGCCCGAACGAAAGCAAGGAGCCGTGTTCGAGATAAGCGAGCTGACGTCCTCTGAGGACTTCTTTCCTTCTCCTCTTCCTGCCTTCCATAGAAGCCAATGAACTACCACAGACCCGGACCACTGTGAACCTTGCAAGAGTGGAGAGATCCTGAGGCAGAAGCCCCCACAAGGCCTCAGCCCATTGAAAAATTGGGCTTGGGCCCTGTCCCCCTCAACACCCCCCCACCTTTCTTTGGGGGCTTTTATATATGTACAGAATAATATTTAAATGTCTTGGATGTTTGAATTATGGTGGGATGACAATGGGCAGGCGCCATTTTTATTTTTTTAACCAAAAATTTAAGCGAGGTTAGGTGGTGGGGAGATTTTTCTCTCACCCCTGCTGCTTTTTTTAAGCCAGTAATTTTTTAACCCCTTTCCCCCTATCTCCATTACTGAATGTATTAATCAAAGACTGAAACTTCTCCCTTTGCCTCCTGCAGTTGTGAATTTTCCCAGTGAGGACTTTGGTGGAGAAGGTGGTTTTAGGATAAGGTTATCAACAGCAGCATCCAAAATGGAGGCTGTGAAAGGACTGGTTTGAGGTTGGGTGCCTTGGGATTTTCCCCTCTGGTATATTTGCTGTGAGAAGGATGAAATGGACTTTAGAAATCAGTGTAGATGATTAAAAGTTAGGCTTCATAGCACATGAAGAAATTATACCTCTTCTCTCTTGACACAGTTGGTTAACATTATTGGCCAAATTCTTGTATCATATTTATCACCACTTGTTGTTTTCTTCCTGCTCTTTGGGAGTCAGCTTTGCTCCTCACTTTATTTATTTTTAATGGGAAATTACTCTATTTTGATGACAAAAGGAGAAGCCAAACAAAGCTGAGCCTCAGGCTGAAACAAGGCATTTCCTTGTGTTTGGGGTTTTTGGTAGGCCTGAGCATTCCTCTTTTGTCCAGAGAGGAGGAATCAATCCTATTGTGAGGAAGTTCTCTGGTTTCTGGTCTGGTAAAAAAAAAGCAGCAGGCCTTTGACACCACAGTTGATTTAGTTTTGTTTTTATTATTCATTTTGGAGTGGGAGAGAGAGAAAAACCCATAATGCCGTGGCAGTGGTGCTTCACTTTGTAACTACTTCATTTTTGGCTAACTTTTCACTTTGATTTTTGCCAGCTGGCTTTTGCAGATGTAATAATACAATGTTCAAATATTAGGTTAGGCAACCTTTCTGAGTCGGGGGCACATTTGTAATTTTGAAGTGTCTGAAGTACATACTGAGAAAAATGGTGACACTAGGACATTAGTCCGTTTGCAAAATGGCTGCATTGGTTAACATGATTAGTCACTTAAATTTATATGCTCAAATGTGAATCTTATGTGCTCCCCCAACATGTTCTCTGACACCCAGTAGGTCATTGTGCAGTTCAAAAGTTGTCCTATAAATAAACATGGTGCTAGAACTTTGTTCTACGGCATCCCACTTTCTATTTAATTTTGAAAATATGCTTTTAAATCACATAAAATGGAACAGGAAATTGTATGGGTGCTGAGGGAAATGTCTGAGCTGTACTCATACTTCCATGCACCCAGTTCTTTATCCCAGATAATTTCCAGTTCAATAACCTATCCCGGTTAAAATCATTATGTCTAAGACCAAGACCAACACTATGCACTAAGACATATCTTTTTTTTATATAAACACTGAGATTGCACAGAGCATGCACATATATACAGTGTGCTAAACTTCCATGCTTCTCAGAAAACTTCATTGAAAGGAACACAAACGTAGCGCTTATGTAAGTGGTATGCAAAGTAAAGTTAATAAGATTCATTTTTCAGAAAATCTATTTGGATTTTTGTCTAATATACTGCCTCCCTTGTCTGTTTCTCAGAAGAGAAATCTGTGTTGATCTGCTAGACTATGAGCAGCAATTAACTATAGGAATAAATTATTGTTGTTTTTTCCAGGAGAATGACTATTAGAAAAATGCCTGTATATTCTCAATGACTCCTTGATAAATACTGTGTTTCCCCGAAAATAAGATAGGGTCTTATTTTCTTTTGACCCCCTCCAAAATAAGCGCTTGGCCTTATTTTCCGGGAGGCCTTATTATTTTTGAGGTGCAGGAAGCAGCGAGCATGGTCACCTCATGGCTGCTGCTGTGTTGCAATATTTTCAGGGGAGGAGTTATTTTAGCGCATGCGCTCAAAAGCCTAATTGGGCTTATTATCCATGGAGGTCTTATTTCCAGGGAAACAGGGTACCAACTTTTTATTTATTAGAAATGTATCCCCCCGTTATTACTTTATAAGTAACTCAAGGCAGCAAACATACCTAATACTCCTGATTTCCCCCCAAAAAATGACTCTGTGAGGTGAGTTGGACTGAGAGAGAGAGAGATTGCTTTTGAAGCAAAAATAACAATTTAGTCCTGGATAGTCTCAAAAGAAAAAATCTCAAGGCAAAGCCTCCCCTGAGTCACGGCCAGCTCTTGATGATTTCATAGTTATCACCATGTAAGTTTTCCAACTACATGCAAGTGCTTTATGACCGCTTTCTGTGGCTTGCTTTTTCCCTGCCCCATGTACAACCCTGGGATTTCCTGATGGCATCTCATCCAGATTACCAAGGTGTAGCTTTTCAAGTTCTGCCAAGCTCATCTGAGTGTTAGCAAATGCCCTCCTGTTAACTTGACCTCTTTCACAATGGCTTTTGCAGCTGGAGGTTCATCTTCAACAAGAGAAGAGAGTATCCTCTTTCAAATGCACATGCAGCTCCTTGTTGGCTTTGCATTTGCTTCTAACCAGTTGCATATTCTTACCTCACAATGCATTTTGAATGGGGATTGCAGAAACAGAGATCTCCCACACAATCTCCTTACCCTAACTTGAAGACACCTGATTGCCATTTCCTGAGAGCATGACTCCACTGTGGAGTCTCCGTCCTCTTGCCAGACTACCACCGAAGCAGGTTGAAGCCAGTCCAAGATGTTCCCAAAGGAAGGGGGTATTTTCCTATGAGATCTGCCGTGGAGCCATTCTAGGTCAGGTGGAAAGTCAACAAAGGTTGGAAATCAGCCTTGGAACTATTCTAGGTCACATGGGAGAAGAGTCAACAAGTTGGAGATCCAACGGTCACTGATTGGCCCATTGCAACACTGCTTGTGTAGCTGCTGAGCCTTGTGTCTCTCTGACCTTTTCTAATTTGACTCCAAGAGACTGGACATCTCTTGTGTAATTTTTTTTTTCTTAATTTGAGCTGGAAAACATTGAACAAGGCAAAAAAAAAATCATTTGCTTACCAATGGGAACACTTACTGGAAAGCTGAAAGCAGAACTATTTCCCCAGTGGAGAAGAAGGCCTGCAGGGCTTATCTTTCTTTGGGGTCCTGCAGCAGAAGACAAAGATATGCTGTAGGGTAGGGCTGTGGAACTCGTGGCCGGCGGGCCAAATGCATCACATGCTGGCCACGCCCACGTCCAGTTTAGCGAAGGGGGGGGAGTTGTGATTGTGATGCTGCCATGCTGGCATGAGTTTGACACCCCTGCTATAGGGGTGCTATCTATTACAGTATGGTACTATCTGTGTGTAACAGAGCAACAAGCAGCATCTCTGATGGGCCCTCTGTCCCTCACCCATAGCACAAATCAGGGAGGCCAGGCTTTGTCTCCACTTCCAGCTATTCCCACCTTTACATTGTCTCTAAGTACAGGTTGAAAAAACACAGCTACAAATACCATGGGGCTGTAGCCACATAGAGTTTGGCTAAGAAGCCATCTTCACCAGCAGCCACTAGGTGGAAACCTGCAGCAGTTGGGGTCCTCCCACTTTCTCACTGACGCCACCACTGGCTGCTTGGGTTGGTGTGTGATGAGTGTGAAGAAGAGAGATTGGGAAAGGGGTTCAGCTCGAACCACAGAGTGATTTGCAGTTTTGCTGGTGCAACAATTCCATCCACATGGCATCTCTAGCAAGCCTGGACAATGTTACGGTTCCCTGCATGCTTCCTTCCTTCAGGAGCACAGCAGAATGACTTTGAAGGAATAGTATTTGCCCCCCCCCCAAATTTCAAATAAAGGAATCCTTCAATCGTCCTGTAATCTACATTAAACTCTGGCCAGCTATATATCTAATCCCATTGCTGAAGGTTAGGCAGGGGAAGGATGTGATATTTGCATTGCCATCCCTTCTTTCAGTTTCGAGGGTGGCAGGAAAATGAAGAGGTTGCTGTGTGGATCAACCTAGCCTAACTTCAGAAAAGGAATAGCTTGTCATTCTCTCTGCTTCGAAAGAAAAGTTAGCATTGTTCAACAAAAGGGTGACCACAGGCATTTTTCTAACAGACATTCTCCTATTTTAAAAATAAGTTTTAAGTTTGGTGGCAGGAAATTTATAATCTGTACATATTCATAATTTGGTTTGCGCTATAGGATTATCCCTATCCCTATTTTGACTTGCTGAGAGCCAGGTAGGAAATTGCTTGGCTTTGTGCGGCTGATTTCTGTTACACTTAACAAAGAATGAAATTATCTGACTCACGTTTTCAGGGCTGATAGCAAATGCTTTTTTTTAATTATTACTGTTATCGTTAACCCAAGATAATAACTGGATTCTGTGCCCAAGTCTTGTTCTTTACATACTAATGGTCTCTTTTCTGTAGATGGAACCCCTTTTCATCAAAACCTGAAGATCAAAGATTCCTAGGGTTTTTAAAATTATAATTCTTCAAACATACCCCTATGTGCAACATTTTTTATTTAAAAAAAAACACATATCAAATGGAGCAGTGCATTTTGAAAAAGGTGCTCATAGTAGCTCTTAGAACATTGCAATCAGTGGGAAACAAAGCATGTGTTATGCTGCTGGAAGCTTGCTTAATAGGGTTCTTGGTCAGGTATCTGCCCCACAGTGTCCTCCCCGGACAATCTCAAGTGGCCCTGTATTTGTTCTACAGATTGCAGCACCTGGAAGACACTTCAGTGCTTCTGTAGGGCTGCTTTTGGCTTTAGAGTTCAGATCATCCAAGCCACCATGCTCTATTTCCTGAAAACTGGCAAAGCAATGAGTTGGCTTCCACTCTTCTGCTCTAGAACTGAGCCTCCTCAAAAGAGAGGATGGAAGTCTGGCTCAGGTCAGGTCTGGACATCCACCTCACTGGCATTTAGCTGTCTCCATAGCTGTAAACTCACAGCTCTCATTTGCCGGATGGCCTCCTCTTGAGACTCCAGCCACTGAGCAAGATTACGGAGTGACTCACGCTGTAAGACTGTAAAAAGAAAGAGAAATCACATGACTAATATAAGACGTTTATGGGGCTTCTCTCTCTGCACCATTCTAATATGAACGCATGTCACCCTGATATATTCAAACCCCTCAATCTTTACATTTAGATCCCATTTGCAAATTTTGGATTACAGTTCCCATGTCTCTGAGCCAATAAAGCCGGTCAGCAAAGATAACAAGCTGAAATCCAAACCCACCTTACATCTTGGTCAGGAAGGTAGCATAGACTCAACTAGGTGTATGAAACAAATGCCTTCCCATGCCAGCAAAATATGCATACTTGGGGGATGGGAGACCGAAGAGGACTTGGTCTTATTGAGAGGGCTGTGGTGACCATAGAGCAGCCAGCCATTTCTAATGTCAAAATGTCACTCTGCTTGACTGGCATTGATTGGGGTCATCCCAAGCTCAAGGAAGTTGATTGATTCAACATTAAGCTATTTAATGTTCTGGGAAGAAATATTCCACTTTCATTCATGGTTCACATTTTGACTAAGTACAGTGCTCACTTTGAAGATGAGTTTCCTGAATAAACCCCCAAGAGATTGGATTGGCAGAAGAAAGCTTTGAACTTGTGGTTTGAACACTACAATGGCTATATTAACATGCTAAGGTAAACTTGTGAT